AGGAAAATACCACAGAAGAAGGAGTTGGAACACTGTAGGATCCCAACAATAGGAAGAATGTTCCAAGTGCTGAGAAAAGGAGAATGTGAGTGATGAGCCACAGGGGAAACCTCTCTACTCTTTTCATCACAACAAAGCCTAAGGAACATCTTGGAAGAAAAGTGGAAAAAAAATCGAAGAAGGGGAGGAGAGCTTCAAAATGTCCTCTGGACGTGACGTGGCTGTTGCACAACATGAACTCACAGGACCTGTGGTTTCCTGCACCAGACATGCACAAAACTAAAACAGCTACAAATTCAAGTATAGAGGGGAAAAGGACTCCTGAGGCCCCTCTTTTCTTACTGAGGAGATATTGGTAATTGATAGATGGTGGGTGAGGAGAGTCATTTGTCATTAGGAAGGTGGACACTTGTAGGTTCCCATGCATCAGTGGATGATCCCACACCCATAAGCATATGGCACCACTAAATAGATTCAGTGGGTTATGAAAAAAAAAGGAATAGGAGACATGAAGCTTAGGACACTATGGGTTCAGGATAAGGTGTTTTCATAAAGCAAATACTTTCAAAATCAAGCATGCTCGAGCTCAGGCCTTGCTGAGCACAGCATGTTTGTGTGCAGGCTGCAGGTGCCTGGGGAGCACCGTGTGCTCACTGCACAGAGGTAGACAGCAGAGTCACTGGGCTGGGAGTCTCTGATGTGCAGGGCAGCATGCAGGCTGGCTCTGTTGAGGTGAGCTGTGAATCTGCCTTCTTCCTTGTCACCATTGGAGACGATGGACATCAGCAACTCAAGGCCTTTCCCAGAAAGCTGTCTGTACCACCAGAAGTTGTATGAAGCACTATCACTGGAAGTGCAGTTGAGAGAGGCCATGGCTCCCTCTGGGACACTGAGGGCTTCTGGGTTCTGCTGCACCTTCTGCTGGCTGCTCACCCCTGTGCAGAAAGACAAAGGTCAGACAAACAGGAATGGAGGCATATAGATGCTAACAATGTAGAATGCTAACATGGGCCTTCCAACCCTTAAGTAAAGACTTAAAACATTGGTGTTTCTACCACTATCCTAGACTAATAACTAGAAACAACTTCACACACCACAATTTATTTACAAAGCAAATGTCCAAACTCACAGTTAAACTGAAGCCACAGGACCACCAGCAAAAAGTTCAAGGATTTCATCACTCCCTCTTCCCTTCTTCACTAAGGATTCATATTTTAAGCCCCCCAAAATTAGTTTCCCATTTCTAATGTTTCTTCTTCAGGAAACATCAAGATACAGTTCCACCAAGTAGAGAAAAAAAAGCACATTTCACCACCTTTTGTTTTCATCAGCAAACCCCTCCCCTCCTCCATTACCTCTCTTCTCCTCCCCTTTTCCCCACAAATTTCTCACTCAAAACCACTTGACAGTTTTCCCCAGTCTTTGAGAAGAGGCTGCCATCTTGTGGATACTGACAGTGACTTAAAGAATTGCTAAAAAATAAACCTTTTTTATGTGAGTTTCTAAAAGGAAAAATCTGCTGTCTTAGTTAAACACAAATTTAAGAGACATTTGCTCCAAGTCAGTGTGGGGGAACATGCATGTTTTCACGTATTTCAAGTTAAGTTTGAAATATATCCTGTTACCTCAAGCACCACTTTCCTGTGGTTAATGGTCCACACTTTTTCTGTCCCCAACTCTGAGTGAGGTTCTTGTAGATCAGGAGTCTTTACACTGCACAGCTGCTCTCTGGGCCAGACTGCACACCTGCATAAAACACTTCACCTTTAATGTCATCTAATTAAAAGAATTCTGGAAAAACTATAAATGGGCAAAAGTGTCACTTACTAAAAACGGTTCCTTCTTAAAATCTAAGGAACTAACGCCTTTTTTTTTTTTTTTTTGAGGCAGGGTCTGCTATGGCAGTTTGAATTAGAATGCCTCTGTTAGGCTCATATATTTCTGTTTGCTCACTAGTTGGTGGAATGTTTGGGAAGAATTAAGAGGTGTGGCTTTCTTGGAGGAGGTATGTTACTGGTGATGGGTTTAGAGGTTTCAAAACCCTAAGCCACTTCCAGTTAGCCCTTTCTCTCTGTCCTCTAGGTGGACCAGGTTGAAAGCTCTCAACTACTGATCCAGCACTTTGCCTGCCTGCCTGCTGGCCTGCCATTCTACCTGCCGTGATGATTATAGACTTACCCTGTGAACCATAAGCCCCCATTAAACTCTTTCTTTAACAAGTTATCTTGATCATTGTGTTTCATCATATTGGTAGCAAATTAAGACAGGGTGTGGTGGTATAAATGAAAACGCCCACCATAGGCTCCTGGGGAGTGGCAATACTAGGAAGTGTGGCCTTTTAGAGAAAGTGAGTCACTCGGGGTGGGCTTTGAGGTTTCAAGTGCTCAAGCCAGGCCCAAGTACTCTTTCTATCTGCTGCCTATAGAACTGGATGTAGAACTCTCAGCATCTTCTCCACCACCTTGTCTGCCAGCATGCTGTCATGTTTCCTGACAGGCTGAGAATGGACTAAATTTCTGAACTGTAGTATAGCCACAAATAAATGCTTTAATTTATTAGAGCTGCAGCAGTCATAGCATTTCTTCACAGCAATACAAACCCTAACTAAGACCCAAAGTCTCTCTTTGTAGTACTGGGTGGCCAAGAACCCACTGTATAAATCAAGCTGTCCTAGGAATGCTTTTCATTTTCTATAATAATTTTATTTATTTATTTTTATTATTTTTATTTTAAATTAAAATACGACTTTTAATAGAGTCCAGATTCCCTTACAATATAACATTGCATTCTGTATTAAGACACACCTGTGTCCAACTAACAAGCCAGAACTAGCTGATGTGTATAACAGAAGCCAAGAAACCCATGCTAAAAATCCTTTTCCCCATGAACTCCTTGCTCTTTAAAAACATAGCAAAGGGAGTTCTCAATAAAATGAGTGATAAAAAAGGCATAGCAACAGCATAAGAAACACCCATCATGCCCTAGAAAATGTCTGAAAATTCAATAGAAAGCCTTAAAGACAAAGTGTAGCCAGCACTGCACTCTGTTAGCTCTGTTTTGTTTTATTTTTTATCTTTTAGAACTCTGATTCTTTTTGTTTTTGAAGATAGGTTTTCTCTGTGTAGTCTTGATAGTCCTAGACTCACTTTGTTTACCAGGCTGGCCTTGAACTCACTGAGATCTGCTTGCCTCTGCCCCATTGAGAGCTGGACTACAGGTATATGCCACTGTACCTAGCTCTTAGTTGTTTTCTAATGAGAGACAGAAATGTGTTAGATCCAGACGAGAGCAGAGACGGGAGAAAATGGAAGGAGTAGAGGTCATGAAAACTGTGTTCAGGATATATTATGTGAGAAAAAAAAATCTATTTTCAATAAAAGGAAAAATAAAGAAACATGGAGCAGAAATAAGAAAATACAACTTTCACTTACTTTTATTGTTAGTTCTTGTGCAATCAAATTTTATCTTCTTTTTGGCTACTATAGATGAGTCAGCTGCCCTAATAACAGGATTTTCTTAACGTGAGCCTCAGACTGAAGGCAACATGATTTTCATGAGACTTTAGTGACTATGCAAATGAGAGAGAGAGAGAGCCTACTCCCTGTTCCAATTCATTATCTTATACAGGACAGGATAGGGGTTGTGAAACAAACAAACAAAAAGCCAGAAGATTCACTAGTCTATCGTTCCTCACGTCAAAAGATCCAGAGTGTGTCTAGCCCTTCTTTGATCCTCTGAAGACTTCTTGTGTTTGTTGGAAATTGTTGTTGTTGTTTTGGAGAGTGTTTTCAAAATTTCAGACAATATGTTGATTATGCTTTTACCCTCACACAACTCCTCCTAGATTCTATCCATCTTCCTACCCATCCAAATTTATGTCCTCTCTCTCTCTCTCTGGCTCACTTGCTCATTTGGGCTCACTCTTACTCTCATGCTGTCTCTCTTAAGCCATAAATAAACCCAAAACAACAAAAATAAAAACAAAAAAATGAGACAAAACCTGCCAAACAAAGAGCTCCTCACAGACATGTTTTTAAAAAACAAAATAAACAACAACAACAAAAACCATGGAGTTCGTTCTATGTTGACCAACTTCTCCTTGTTATGAGAAAATGGTGTGTGGTTTCTCTACTCAGTGAGAAATCTACTGCAAAAAAAAAAATCGTTTTCTCTTTCCCAGCAGGTATACATTTCAAATAGCTTCATTATTATGAGTAGGACCAACTATCCTACCCCTATTCTTTCTATCAGTTCTGGGACCCTGTCTGGTTTGAACCTATGCAGGTCTAGTGGATGGTATCATTTCTAAGCGTGTATCTCTGGTGCAATCCTTTTATCTGTGACACGAGAGTGTGGTACTGGTTGCCCTCTGTGCACAGATGCATGGCTCAGCCCTCCAAAATTATTTTTCTTGACATTCTTGGCTTCCTAGCTGTTCCTTTGACCTCTGTGGTTAACTGAAAAGGCTAAGGTTTTTCCATCTCCCCACCTCATGGTAACTGCCAGGATATTCTGCTTTCCTATGCTGTTGTCTTTCTCTCAAAAATCTATT